GGAAGGATACCCTACAAAATATTAAAATTAATTGATACTGATATTTATTATATTTTCTTTGCGTTAGTTAGATGTACGAATATTTTTTTTGCGCTTCATATTTGAAAATGTTGATATTTTTCATACAATATGAGTTATAACATTTTATTTTTTTTTACAATTAATGCAAAATGAAGTTTCTAATTATTATCTATAGTTGCTTTATGTTGAAAACATAAATACAAAGATTTTTGGCTCAAACTTATGGTGTAAGAATTCTTTTTTTGGCCACTGTAGATTCTTTCCTTTTCTTCCAAAGTAGTTATCGTCATACATACAGATGCTTTTGGGCTGAAGTTTCTCCTACACAAAATTAAATCCTGGATCCGCTAGTGACGAAGAGTAAGTGTCAAGACTTCTTGTGGTCCACAAGTTCAAGTAACTCTTCACGCAGAGCTGTGCAAGCAAATCGTCATGTTAGACCCTTTTCACACGCACTGAATTTGTCGGATAGAAAAAAAAAATGTTAAGATTTCGATGGCTTGTTTAAAAACGTATTGCGGTTTTCAAACGCCATGAATTTTACTTTACGCAAAAAATATGGCGATTTATTTCTTTTCGATAAATTGTATTATTATAATTTTTGAAGCTATCATAAAATGTTAGTACTAAAAAGTATATATAGAACACTAAAAATTATTTATTGAAGGAAGTGAGTCGACCGTTCTACATATCATGGGTGACGAATATTCAGGACGCAGTCATTTTAAAGTTTTTATTGTTGCCGACGTTTCAAGCCTAACATGTTGTTCATCATCAGGGCGTGTTTTGAGCACTGGAGGTATTCAAGAGCTCCTTCAGTGCTCGAAACACGCTCTGATGACCCACACGTTTGGGTTGAGACGTCGGCACCAATAAACTTTACAATGGCTGTGTCGTGATTATTAATCATCCATAAAAATTATTTACAAAAAAGTTGTATTAAGTATAAAAAATTAAAATAACTCTATAATCAGAAAAACGTATCTTTCCTAGCAAAATTAATCGGTATTTTAAAGCTATTTGGTATAGTAATTATATCAATGAAATTGTTTTAAAAAGAACAAGGAAAAAATGTTAGTTAAAATTAATGATCATAAAGAATTTCCAGTTAGTTGACAAAGCACGTACGTAACAAATAAATATTACAAATAAAAAACAAGTTATTGCTTTTTAAATGGGGCAATGAAATCCAATCATTGGATTAAGTGGAAACAAAACTGTAACCATCAATTTCATTTGGTGTAATAAATCGCTTTTCTCGATGATTCCTTCCATAGTCGTTATCTTTGTTTGAGATTGTTGTGCTTAATGCGTGCATTTTAAATGTGTTTGTTTTTGAAAAATCTCTTTTATTTCCTATTTTGATCAGTGATTTTTGGCGGATTCTTGTTCTGGTGAAATGGGTAGCGTCACAGAAAGCAAAACGAATACAATTAATAAATATAAAAAAATCTATGCCCTTGAGCAACACTTGGAAATATAGATATTATCGAGTCTGGATCGATTAAAAAAAAAAAGAAACAAAATATAAAAGCTTGGTCTAGCGTTCTAGTACTTTTGAAATTTTCCTTTACGAAACTAATCTCATTTTCGTAATTATTTACTTGATTCTTATTAAATCAATTATTACCGATTAAATCAATTTATTTCGATTCCTTCACAATAATGCTGTTTCAGTTTTGAACGGAAGAATCCTGTAACTCCATTTTAAATCTCTTTCAGAGAATCTGGAGGTTTTCCTTGAAGATAATGAGCCATTGAATGGAACGGTAGTCGGGAGGTGTTTTGAAAAGTATGTTACACGATAGGACAAACCCCCCTACTGTGCACCCTCCTCCCACATCCCAATATATTGCATATAGTTATGTTCCTTGTAACCATTTATTTAAAAAAAAAAAAAAAAACAATATTCCCATAAATAAAGTGGCCGCACTGTCCCAAAATAGCGTTCAAACATAGAACATTGACGTGTTTGATTTGAATTAGTTTTTTGGTCACTGAGATTCGGCATTTGGATCAATTTCGCCATAATTGTCCTTTTGTTAAAGCTGGATAGTTATATAATAATAAAACATGAAAAATATTAAAAAATAATTGGCCTTGGCAATAAAAAACACCTGTGAAGTCATGTCGTTTAAACTATTTTTTTTTATTTATGATATTTACAACTTTTTTTTTTTCCTTCCCTTTCTCGCCGTTAAGGCTATACGGGATTTTCCCGGGTCAGGGAGTGTGGGCGGGGTTTAAAAGACTCCCTGGGCACCAGGACGCGAACTCGTGACTATTTTTATATCTTTGATTCATATGTCAGGTTGCCAGGCAACGGCGGTGCAGTGCACACGCTTTAGCCCATTCGGCCACCCCGCCCACTATGATATTTACAACTGTATTAATATAAATACACCAAGTAAATCTGTACACAGAAATATAATCACATGAAAACGCTTGTTGAGAAACTACCCACTGATTGCACTCTACAAAAGGAGATCACGCGGCCATCTTTTTTTCAGATGCTTCGGAGGATTATCAGGAATTGAAGAGGAAGCAAGGTTAGAAACAAGAGGATTCGGATGGTTATGAAGTTTATTGTGGAAGGATAGGTATCTGGATTCGGCCAAATTGGAAATATATGGAAGGTCTTAATGGATTATTTTATTTGTGACAAAGTAAGGAGCATTAAGGATTTTACGAAGGATTTTGAATTGTAGTAATTGGATACAAGAAGAATTCGATGGTTTAGTGGAACCCCATAGCTTAACTCTTAAGTCCAAATAGGTCTTATTATAGTCATGTATATAAATCTTTTGTAATTAATTGGAAGCTTAGATCGTTTGCCTAGTAACTGTTGGAGTAAGCGGAAACGTCGAGCTGTTTCTTGTCGTTTCAGTTTCGTATGAGGATTCCAAGTGAGACGTTTGTTCAGGTGGAGTCCTAGGTATCGGATTTGTTTAATAGGGATAAGTGGGGTGTTATTAAAGGATACTGTTGTACTGGAAGTCTTAGGTTTACGACGAAGGATAAAGGTGATTTGATGCGTTTAAACAAAGTGGAAAATCAAGCGTCTTTTGTAAATAAACGGTAAACAATTTCAATAAAAACGCACCAAAATAAAACATCTGGAAAATAATTATTATTTATAAAACACAGATACTTTTTAAAATATTTGAAGCATTTACTTAGAAAATACACTTAATCGGCAGAAAAACGGCACCGTCATAGACGTCTAAAGTCCTCTGCCATATCATTAAGTATTCACTAGTGGCCCGCGCAAATAATTGTCAGAAAATTTTGTTTAGTGAGAAATAGCAAAACAATGTGGAAATAAGTAGATCCTATGTATTATGTGAGGAAGGAATTAATATATTTTCCTTGGTCGATTACAATATTCCATTTAACATAATAGATCAAAATATTTGTACAAATTCCATTGATAGGACCTATTTTTAAACGCTGACTGGAAAGATAATAAAAGTAATAATGACAAATTAATGCCCCGATCTTATGATATTGAAAAAAATAAAATGTAAGAACAACCAAATGTCTTTAAGAAATAATAAATGCAATATTAAAGCAAGGAAAAAAAATGTAGTAGACTATTCTACTCCTAAATGCAATATCTTTAAACAGGAAGACATTATTAAGTATACCAAAACTAATGGACTGTATCTTTGTTAATAATTGTCTGATCTTTATGATTATTTTTTTTTTGGTAGGTAATTCAGCAATCTTTCTAATTATCATGGGAACAATCCAGAAAACAAAATACATACTTTTTGAGTTACACCTTTTAGAAATAATATATAGGGCAACTTTTTGATTTAACACGTCTATAGAGAGTAAATACATAAAAACTCCTAACAGGTTTTTATTTTATAACTTGAGTTCTAATTATTTAGGAAGGTGCAGTTTGTTTCATTTCGTTAAGTTTATGAGGGCCTATATCCCTGCAAAATTTCGTGTGAATAGGTGGAATAATATTGAAGTTATAAAACTTTTTGTGATTTTCGAAATAAAATCAAAGAAAGATGTCTTAGGTCAAGTTTGTAGATTTTTTTTTTATTTTTCAATCACAATGAAAATTCGTCTTCGAGGGTCTTCCGAGCTGAGTAATACAAATCTCAATTGTGTTTCTCCTTAAAAAAATATTTCAACACACTTTACTCCTTCCGTCAATACAAATTGTATAAATTATTAATATTTCTAATCGATTTTTACGATTATTATTATTTTTTTTTTTTTGTAGGTAATTCAGCAATCTTTCTAATTATCATGGGAACAACCCCTAAAAAAAAAAAGCATATTTTTTGAGTTATTCGCAAATAAAGTTTCTTTTCCTTCATAACTTTTTTCCTGGAAATTTCGATGGAATATGACTATTTTTCGCATGTGAAGGAGAAGAATATCTTCAAAATAAATGGTCAATCATTCGATTTAATGAATAATTGACGAAGTTATGGCGTACCGACAAAAAAACACCTTTTAGAAATAATATTTAGGATACGTGATATAATTATACTGCCATAATGATTGTATTAATGAACAAATATTAATACATTAATTGAATTCTCAATTTCTTTAAACTTCAGCCATTTTGAAAGCTTGATAGTTCGCTTCCTGTTGGGTTTAGAAAACAATGTTCTTTACGAAAACGTTTTATAATTTTTTTTCGATGTCGCTTTGAAAAGGAGATATTTAGCGTTATCCAAAAATAGTTCGAAATTTCAATGGTTTTAGGACACTATAACGAACCCACAAGACTTTCAAGAGCGGAAGCTTGGATTTTTTATATTCAATACATACCTAACAATATAAAAAAGAAATTTGAATTACTCGAGCTTTTGCAAACTAGACCCCTTTTGTTGTACTAACTTGATTGGGCTAATGCATCTATTACAGATTTCTTCCTCCCACCCATTGGTCCCTACCTTCGCTCCTTATAATTATCTCACTCATTTCATTTGCGATTTTAGCGTTCTAAAGTTCCTTCTTGATCCAACATCTTAAATATATTTATGATTAACAAGTTAGTGATAACAATTTCCGTATTTTTACATATTTGATTTACGGTTACATTCAAAAGTGATGATTATTACATATGAATAAAAAAAATTACCATCTTTATACTGATGTGAAGTACGTTTTCTTTTAAAAGTAAGTATTTAAAGTATTTGCCCTTAAAAGTGTATAAAATTATTTTATTAGCGTTAAATCTTTTATTTGATTATTTTATTATCCAATATACATTCTTAATGCTATTAAGGAAAGTATGGAAATATTCAAATATTTTTCATTCTAATTTTCTTAGTCTAGTTTGTAAAAAACATTACTTATGTTGGATTTTAGCTTCAAGAACATACTTTTTTTTCAGTCTTAATTACTTCTTTTTTTTCTGGTAATACCTATTTTTTTTTATTGTTTATTGAATCGAAAAACGCCGATTATTAAATTATATATAATATTCCTTGAAGTTATGTTTTGCCCTAATTCATTTTTGCTCTTTCTTATTCAAAACAGGTTTGCCTTTAAACAGGTTATTAGTTTCTTTTGGAAAAGCAGGGCTCAAGTGCAATTTTTTCTAATGGAATTTTTATTGTAAATTTCTTATTTTCGTTTGTGATTTTTGAGATGAATTGATCAACTTATTCTTTCTTTTTATTGACATCGTTATATCTCTGTTAAACAAATCTTCCGCGTTTTCTTATTATTATTGTTCCTCATACCGAAGACAGAGAAGCATTGTATTCGTGCAAGAGATTAAAAAAAAAATTTTTTTTTGCTTAGAATCGAAATTTTCCACTAGCGTTTTACGTTTTCAGACATCAAGGATCAAATTTGGTTCGGTGTTTGTCTGTAGTCAAGTAGATTTAATGGGCATATTACCACCGTTTATCCGATTATCATGAAATTTTCAGGGATTGTGCCGAGTGGTGTTTAGATGGTTTCGTATCAATTTTATCAAATTCCATCCAGCACTTCCACTTACGCATACGAATAAAATAAATTTATTGAATTCTGTCCACTACTTTATCTTATATATGAGCAAATGTATTTTCCTTGATACGTCAATATCTCTAAAACCGCACGTTCGATTTGGCTCAAATTTGGAGGGAAGTTAGGGATTGGTAAACATATAATCAAGTATGCATGAATGTTAACAAATTCTATCCACAATTCCAATAAAAAATACTTCCGTTTTCAGATCAGGAATTTGTATTATTTTTTACAGGCCTATAGTTTGAAAATTGCGCGTCTGATTTGATCCAAACTTGGAAAAAATTTAGGGAATGGTATAGAAAATACGTAGTATTAATTGTGTTGAATTCCATTTAATAATTAAAATTAATATAAATAATTGTTAACAATATAATGGCTGTGAAATGTGGGAGGCATCACGAGGGGATCTACGGTGGGAGGGAGGGCTTTCGGGCTGAAGCCCCCTCCCAAAATGGAAAAATATAAACATGTTTTATGGGGAAAAAAAATTTAAAAATACCTCTTAAAGTATTATTGTTAATGTAATTACATTTAAAAGTACTTAAGGAACAACTTAAACCCATTTCATATAGGTAGTGTTGGTTCTTCTGTTTTCCAAAGTAATTAACGTTAATTTTATGAAAAAAAAAGGTTCGGGCTGAAGCTACCCCCCAAAATTAAATCCTGGATGCCGCTAGTGGAAGGCATTGATGATATGGAGTGGGAGTCACGGGCGGATCTATGGGGGGTGCTTTCGGGCTGAAGCCCCCCCCCCCCGCCAAAATGCAAAATATAACCATTGTTTTTATCGAAAAAATATATTAAACAAGTATCTCTAAAGTAATTATTGTTTTGTAATTACATTTAAAAGGGCTTTAGGAATCACTTAAACAACATTTCATACAGGTAGTTAGCTTCTTTCTTTTTTTCCAAAGTAATTATCGTTATTTTTATGAAAAAAAAAATTTCAGTCTGAAGCCCCCCCCCAAAATTAAATCCTGGATCCGCTAATGGTGGGAGTTATGTTATGACAACATTTTTATGGGTTTATAAAAGTTTTGGTTTTATTAAAAAAGTTAATTTATACTGTATTGTTTGGTCGATTAAGCCCGAAAGCCCTTTCCCGTAGATCCGCCTGTGTTGTAAATTAATACTTCTTCATGTTTGATCGTTCTACTTTATTAAATTACGATTTCGATAAATATATTCTCATTTGATTTTTATCACTATGTATTAAGATAAATAGATTAATAGTGATTAATAATCCTGCTGCTATCAGCTTCTTCTTAACCAAAGTCTATCAACAATATTTTTATGAAGTATGTAAATTAAAGTGTATACTTTAAATTTGGAGGGCATGCTTGTATTTTAGAATAACATTACAAAAACGCTTTAAAAATGGACTAGAAGAAATATTTGGTTGGCTCGTGCACTTGTTATCTCGCCTTAATTTGTCTAAATACAACGCAACCGAAACGAGTTAAAGTTATCTATGGAACTGTTAACGATGTTTAACACATGGTATGATGAAAAAAAGTTTAGATATTTTGAAGTAATTTGAGTTCCCTCATATCAAAGGCGAACATAGAGTTAGAAGTTGATTACCGAATTTTTTTCGCTTTAAAAAAACAAAACACTATAACTACTATTTGGCTTGTGCGAATAATTCACTTAGTATATTGATTAGTGAACAAATGACAAAATAACAAGGTAATAACTTAATGCAATGTATTATAAGCTGGAAGAATTAATTTTTCTTTCCTCGGTCATTGTAATGGACCAAGGGAAAAAAAATGTAAATGTTCATTCATGATAATAAATTAAAGTATGTTTACAAATTACAAATTTTGATGATTTTTTAAAAAAGTTATTTAACTTTTTTGTTGGTTTTGTAGCAACTTCAGTAACTTTTGACACGTGCACCTTTAACTGGATAGAACTGGATAATATAGAAAATCACATCATTTCCTTACACATCTTGTGGTGAATCTCAAAATTTTTCCTAATAAACAATTACTTGATTAATATGGGTTTAAAGCTTATTAAATGTTGACGTTTTTCTAAAAGTTGGGTAAATGTAATACAGTTGAAGGGCGATAAAAAAAAAAATCACAAATAATTCATGCCTTTTTTTTAACGGAACTTACCTGTGTTTGTCCACCTAATAGTTCTGTTTTAATACTTTTAACAATGACAAACTCTACTTTCGTTTAAAGTAAATTTTGTCTAGTTTATTATGGAGCAATATTTAATTACTTGAATCAAATATTTTTTAAGTAATCGTTTCCTATTCAACAAAAAAATCTGTGTTGCTTAAAAAAAACACAAGTCTTTAAGTTCCAACTTTTCCTCTGAAAATAGTCCAATTGTTTCTATAAACTTTTTTGCAGATCTTGATGTCTACTATCAAGCTTTTAAATATTTCCCTCTACTTATGGTGTTGACCGGAAAATAATCCAACATTTCATGTTCTCTTTATTCTTACTTTATATATATATATATATATATATATAACAATTTATACATGTATATATATATATACAGCAATTTATAAGTGCTGACTCATATATAAAAAGAAGAATCCTTCAAACGTATTTTATATATATATATATATATATATATATATATATATATATATATAAAATACGTTTGAAGGATTCTTCTTTTTATATATGAGTCAGCACTTATAAATCCTCTTCCAGAAAAAACTTAATCTTTCGTAGCATTTCACTCGTTGAAAATAATTCAGCCTTTATTGAGATGTCAATGCCCGAATGAGGAGAAGAAATAGTTTTCTAATGTGAGTTCTCACATGAATATACTAGTATCGCTTTATAGTACAATTATTCATAGTGATAATTCCATGTTTTCCTAAAATGTCACTTATCTTCTTTATCTCCTTGATCTTATTTTATTTATCTTATATTTTATTAACTTTACCTGAAAGTTCAGACGGTTAGACAACGCAATACTGCATGAAACCTTATTTACTTTATATTTAATTTTTTTTTTCCTCGAATGCTAACCTATTAAAATTAATAGCCCTTCGGAGATAAAGGTTTGAGGAAGAAATAAAATGATTAACAATATTAATTTTTTTAAATTAGTTCGAAATATATCCTCACAAAATATATTACGAACTGTAATTGCACACAAGAAAATGGCTTCCTTTCATATTGCAAGTACCAGCCCTTCCTTTATTGTTCAATATCTGTATTAAATTGTACTTATCAAGCCAAAGTAGAGAGGAAACGTGGGAGGGTACGTATAAGAGTACGCAGTACCTAGCTTGTGATGATGAAATAAGATAGGAGGATTTCCAAAGAAGAGGACTTCAATGGACCAGGAAGAGACAGTGAAAGACCGACAGTGGATATGTCTCTATAAACGTCGTTCTCACGAGGAATGTGCAGTTATAAATGAACGAATGTGAAGACGATGATTGCAAATATTTTATTTAATATATTACATCAGAATTCCTTAAATTTGTTCGTCAACCATTATTTCAGAACCTTTTTTTAAAATATAACCGAAGAGAAAAGTGTGAATGGTAATTTAAACCATTAAAAAACTCAACAAAAGACATAAAATAGATGTTAGGTTATAATAGGAATTCAACTACACAGCCTTGTGGCTCTTTTCAATTGTTTCTATCACTTATTTGTTACAATAAATATTTTAAAATAGATATATTTGATGGATATATTTTTTGAGAGTAACGTCGTCTAACAACTTCTAATGATAACCTATGAAACATTTAAATTAATGTTTTTTATTATATTTTTTTATAATATACCTACATCTCTTTTTAGGAGACTTACTTCTCGAAGCGGTATTACTTGGAAATGTGAGATTTTTACTTCATTCACGAATATTGCAAATCTACATAAACAGAGATGAATGGTAAAATGGAAGATAACATGATTGAAGTAACCGGTGCATATAAGCGCTACGATGTGCATACGGAAGTGCTTTGTGATCTGAACATGAGTGTCCAAAGAGGATCTATGTAAGTATAAACTTCAAATCTAAAGGTGCGTTTAAACATTATACAAGCTATGGGAAACACAATTGTCTAGCTTAACAATCGGCGACATTATTGCTAAACCGAACTATTTATTTTATTTCTATTGATACCGACAGCAGATAGAAAATATAAAAAACAAGAAAAAAAATACTAGCATAGTGAAATAACCATTTATATATTTATTTGTTCCATAGGTTGTGAAATGTCTAAACACACTTTAAGATATTGATTGATATTTCTTATGTCATCTTTCATTAGTGAAATATTTATTTTTATTTTTTTATTGTTTTGACCTTAATTTAGTTAATGTTATGTTGAGAATAAATGCAATACCCTGAATTTATATACATTATTGAAAACTAATTCAAAACATATTTCAAAGAATATCTCCTCACCTTTTTATTTATGATTTCATATTTATGCATGCCATATTCTTAGGTGCCATCATATCAACCTGGTAGGTTTTACTATTCTTATATTATAATACTTCTTGAGTTAAGATACTAGATCTTGTTAATATTCTTAAATGTGAGGGCACACCATTGTTTAAGTTCTGAATCATCCAGTCAATTTCTATTATTTCCTTGTGTGTGTGTGGTTAGAATATGTTCATATTATTGATCCAAGATAAATTTCTAATCCAATGTAGAGAGGAAATAAATTTTTAAGGACAAGAGGAGAAAAACAGTTGATTTTTAAAAGTTCTGTAATTTTTGTTATTCTTCGATTCTGGTACAATTTTTCATAGAGAATTACTCATTATATACAAATAAAAAAAAAAAAGATTATTTAAAGTATTCATACTTATCATTGTACATTTATAGCTATTTATTCAATTGAATATTATCTTGATATAATGTAGGATTTGGATTTTAGTGGAATGTACTACTCATATTCTTAAATGATGTTTCAATATGTTTGCATATTAAATATAAAAAATATCTCTTTTAGATATGCATTCCTTGGGCCTAGTGGTTGTGGTAAAACAACCCTTTTGAAATGTATTGTGGGAAGAATGAGGCTTGATTGTGGAGAAATAGTTCTTGGGGTACAACATAGATCACAGATAGGCTATATGCCACAGGTATTTATGTTATAATTATTTTTATTTTTTTTTTGTAATCAATTTTTTATTTATTAGATCTTCAAGAATCACTTAAACACCATTTTTCATAGTTTCTTTCTTTTTCTCTCAGAGTAATTACTAAATAATTATATTTTAAAAAAACCAAACCCTTCAAAATTAAATCCTGGATCTAGAAGGACAGCTACTGACTTAAAAGGATGGATTTTGAATCACTTCCAGCCTTGAGAGGAGGGAGTAATTTTTTTTCCATCTAATGGAATAAATATCAAATTTCACAACTATCACTGAATTTAATATAATATAATATCAATTTAATATAATATCAATCACTTTCCAAATGTAACCACCAAAGTTTCACTATTTGAAATACTTATTTATTAGTGTTATTGATTAGTTTTAAAAGAAACAATCAATTAATTTACTTAAGGTATCAAATGAAGAATGCTTTACTTTGCAAAATTCTGTTAATAACTATTTCATAATAAATATTGATATTTCAATTTTTTTTATTTTTATATTTCAGGAGACTGCTTTACTGCCAGAAATTACAATAAAAGAAACACTGAGTTATTTCGGATGGATGTATGGGATGAAGGGTATAGAACTTGCAAGAAGAAAGCAGGAGCTATATGATTTTCTTGATATACCTCCAGAAAATAAACGAATCAAGAAATTGAGGTATCTCGTTTAAAAACTTTTTTTTCTTTCAAGAAGAAACAAAAATAAATAATTATAATTATAATTAGTTGTTCATATTGTAAGAAAATTACATTTAAATATTTGATAATATTGAGACATAATGGTTAAAAGTACAATGAATACAAAGTAAAACCAGATGATCGTAAATTGATGTAGAATGTAAATATAAAATTAAAAATAACAGAGAGATCATACAAAGCGAAAATACTTAAAAATAATGAACGATTAAATAAAATTAATCAATAAAAATTGAAAATGCATAAAAAATAAATAAACAAGAATAATAGAAGATGTAATAAAGAAGTTATTTTCCACTTACAAGATTTAAAATGTGCCTATATGTTAAATAAATGCAATTTTTATCAATTTTATGACTAACAAGATTGTGTTTCATGTGGGTGTGAATGAATTCGGAAATGAGTCTTTTTTCATGGTTGGAGCCATTGTCAGGAATAGAGGTTTTTTCAAAATCAAATTAATGGTTGAGAGTTAGGTTAAAAAAGTTCTTGGATAGTTTGGAGGCGGAAGGATTCCGGGAAGTTATGGATATTTTATGTTGGGGAAATACGGGTTTTGAGATGGTTTTTGGTTTCGTCAATATAGGAACTATTACAATTAGGAGTAGAGCAAGGTATCCGGTAAACTACATTAGATCGGTGTTGTAAAAGTATGGGATCCTTCAAGTTGTTGGAAAGGAAAGAAAGTTTGTTATGGGTCTTAAGGTCAAGATGTAAGTTGGTTATGGTCGATTTTAGGAATTTCTGTACATTATCTGAAAGAATATGAATATGAGAGGGAGATTTGTATATGAAAGGAGTGGTAGGTGATTGTGGGGAGTTGAAAGAAGGGGAGGTTGTACTATTTATGCAGAAAATATAGAAAAAAAAACACTTAATCCAAAATTTTCACTTAATATGTTCGACAAAGGAATGTTTCAACCATATTGTACAGAGTTAGAAAAAAAACTTCATTCCTTACATTACCAATTACCACTGATACATAGTGGATCATCTGAATTATTTCTTCCAGATACTTACTTTGCATGTATCCCATGTTACTATAATTGTTTCTGAATGATCTGATACTATTAATTAATGAACATTTGTATTAATTTGAATGAATGTTGATATTTATTGTAAAAGTTTAAAAGAAAACAGATAATAAAAAAAAATTGAAATTTTCTTTTCTTAATTCTTAATTAGAGAGCAGATGCATACCATGGCAGAAACAATTATTTTAGACTCGTTGGGAACCCTCCATCACCACATATATTGATCTAGGCCTTCACTTATTTGATTCTATGAACCGCTCTTGTCATGTCTGATAGTATTCCAATGGTCCGACCTAACTCTCTCTTATATTTTTATACTCTATTATCTTTTGATTGAAGAGTATGCTGTGTTATTTAGCAACTCAACACAATTGAGCAGCCATCCAATGTTATTGTATTTCATTCTTGATAAATTAATTAATAAAGTGAGAACAGTCTATGATTGAACATCAATAAAAGAAAAGTACTATTGAATCATGCCATCATGTAGATAAACGGAAAACGGTCATATCTATAAAAAAAAAACTTTGTTAAGAAAATAAATTAATATAAAGTTTATAAAAGTAGAAAAATAGTTTTTCATAGATCTTTACAAGTACGGATAATGTATGTTCTTTTGATTAATTCAGTGCAACATCAAATAAATAATAGAAATAGCTAAAAGATTCATGTGGAGACTAATCAGAGATAAGGTTTATGTGTATGCTAGTAATGTACAATATAATTTTAAGATGAATCAAATATAATATTTTTGTTTAGCGGGGGTCAACAAAGAAGAGTATCATTGTGTGTTGCTCTATTAAATAACCCAGACTTGATGATCTTAGATGAACCTACCGTTGGTCTTGATCCACTATTAAGTTATAGGTAAATTTCTTCAATTCAGTCAATTACGTAATACTATTTAAGTTTGTAAAGATTGTAATTGAGTTTTCCCGCTATATTTATTTGCTTATTAATGAATTTTAATTATCACCAGATTTCTTGAGAGGCATGAAAAGGAACTATACTTGAAAGCTTCTGTCAAAAAAACATTATTTTTCATTTTATGCTTCTAATAGTTTGAACAATAATCAAGTAGATATTTAATTACTTATTCTGTTCAGCAATGTGTCTCCATCCAAACTTATTATTAGATCACTTACATTAATTTTAATCATTCAGTACATTCTACTATAGTATGAGAGAACTAGCATTACATTATTTTTATTCAATTAGTGGGAAAAAATCAGCCTCTCATTTCCATTTTTATTCCAATTAACTCAGTATTTTTGGTATCAAAATTATCTTCCAAAATGATTTCTATCATTATGGAATTAAGTCTGTCTATGATTTTGGAGACCTTAATGATTTCGTAATGTGGTTAGTTAAAACAGGTTGAAGTTTCGTTCCATAATTGAAAAAAAAAAAAAATTAAAGTTATCTTATGGTATGGAGATAATGATAATTCCAATTTGTAGATAAGTTGGTCAGAGTTATGATCAATAGGCATACTATAATATATTATAGTAGTATTATATTTGCCAACATTTTGACTTACGTTGTTGGTCTTCATCAGGACATTCCATCTAGCATTCCTGGACGAAGCTAGGAAGCTCTCCTAAGAAGAATTTTTGTTAGGTGAATTTTCTAGCTCAATCCTAGCTCCAGCAATGCTAGATGAAATGCCCGAATGAAGACCTACAATTCACATTATTAAAACGGACCTACAGTGCACATTATTAAAACAAACCTACAATCCTTATTATAAAACAATCCTATAATATGTAATAGTATGTATATTGATTGCACACCTGACCACCTTCTCCTTAAAATAAAGTTATCTTAAATTTTGTTTGATCTAGTTACTACTTCCCCATTCTCTTAGTACTATATCATGTAAAAAATTCTTTTTAACAAAAAAAAGTAAATAAATTTCCAACTTTACTTGAATTTCTCAGGTGATCACGTGTACTTAAAGGTACACATGTACTAAAGTAGTTCATTTCATTTTCTGATAAAGGAAATTTATTTGAGAATTCCCCAGATTTTCTATAATTACTGTTTAAAACAGAATAATTTTTAATTACAGCATATGGCAATGCTTATTTAAAATGTTGGAAAGAAGCAACAAAACCATTCTCTTAACAACACACTACATAGAAGAAGCAAAGCAAGCTAATAGGGTAATGAAATATAGTCTCTTTTATTTATTTATTTATTAATTAAGGCTGTGGTTGCAATAACAGCATGTAAGCTCATGTGCCCTTTATTTAAAGAATGCTTTAGTGGTTTCAGTATGAACTCAAAAATATCCCTATCAAACCTTATTGTAATTACATAATAAAAAAAAAAAATTGACAATCCATTTTAACCAGTGTAAGGAGAGACTATAGGTATAGTGCATCTAAGTTAAGTTTGAGTTTAGGGGAAGGAAGCTCGCGCAGCTTTCCCCACTTAAGTTCTACCTCCAGCCCCACTTCCCTTCTTCACCAAAGCAACCACTTTACTCCGTCCAGATGTTTATTAAAGGTTGGAATTTGAAATAAAAAAATAAAATAAAACAATGAAAAGGATGGTTAAATAATCAAATTAATAAAAAAATATATATGAATTCATGAGGTCTACTGTTCACAGAACATGATGTTATTGCTAGGATCTTTAGATCTAAATTTTCCAAGAAATATATCATAAAAAAATCAAGAAATAGATGGAAAATATACTACATTATCGAATATTTAGTAACGGGGAGGAGCCTTTTTCATTTACTTCTGAATGTAAAGAAAGAGAATTATCCACATTATGTATTATTTTTTACTGTACTGTATTTGCTCGAATCAAATGAATCGCAGTATGTAAACAGCCAGTCTTTCTGTGAATCAATTGTTACGTTCCCTTTGTCAACCAAAACAAAACAAAGAGTTTCCTTTTCCAATATATTATTTATTTTAACACATATAACATAAATTCTCAGGTTGGGTTCTGACAACTGAACACACATTCAACATTTAATAAATACAATGTACACTAATTACTAAATACAAATAAAGAAACGAGATACATACATTAAGAAATTATACATTCAAAAACCTTGATTGTCCCAGTCTAAACTTTGTGGCTCTTTCTATTTTCTCAAATTGCTGGCTAGTACCTTCTCTCTTGACAGCTTGACACATTTTCTCTTGGCGGCTCATAATCTTCTCTCTTGGCCGCTAGCACCTTCCCTCTTGGCGGCCCGTCGCAGTCTGAGTTACATGTGCTTGCTTCCCCCACTTCTTCCCTGTAGTTCATGCTGTTACCGCTTTTGCGCCACTATTCATATGCCATGTAATGTTGACATTACACAATGTAGGAAATAGGAAAAGAAATGCAAAAAAAAAAAGAAAATGATAAAAGAAATTTCTACTTGTAAACAAAAATTTATAAGTAGGTATGAATGAGTAGTTAAGACAAGACAGTGGGGAATAGACGGAAAAATGTTTTGCCACTGCACATCTCTCTTCCCCTCTACTCACCCTCAAACTTATCTTAGCTAGAGTCTATCAGTTTTTTTGGAATTGACGTGCATTTGATTAAATGCCAATAAAATGTGATAAACATTGGTTTTTTTTTATATTATTGATGTAAAAATAAACCGTAATAGAATTATACAATGTGGATATATGTTAGAAATGTCATAGATTTTTGATAGGTTGAAAATGAGCCAATTGGCTCAAAATGTTTTATGACCTAAAAAAAATTGAAACATTATTAGTACAATTCAAATCCTTGAAGACACCATATATAAATACAACCATTGCCCGTTCTAGGTATACAATCTCCTCCACTTTAAATCATCTGTCCACTCCCCCTCCACAAGATCTCGGCCTTCTGACCTTTTCACCCCTTCCATAGATCTGCTTCATTTCAACATTCCTTTATTGTCCGCTCTTCCACCTTTTGGAATTTCATCCCACTTAAATCCGCCATGCACCATCCTTATACACATTCAAAATCCTCTTATTCCAATTCCTCTTCACAACCCAATCAGATGCTGGTTAATTAGGTATCACGCAACAAGGATATATATATATATTTTTTCATACACCACTATTTTATTTTATTATTTGTGAACTGGAAAGATTCTGTATCACTTTTGGCATAGCACTGTGAGGTGATGCATAAATAATAAGAGATTGTTGGTTGTTTTTTTCCATTTTTCTATTTCCAATCTACAAGATTGTGTATATTTTAGACGTATTTCATTTCTTACATTCCTCAATTTTTATACATATATATCTTTCTATTGCTTTTTTTTTATATATATATATATGTAATTATTTTTTCCCCCCTTTTCTTTTTGTTATTTTTTCCAGTAAAATTATAAATATAGTTGAGAAGATTTTATTTTATTTTTTAGTAATTTACATACTATTATTTAAGTTGTTGTATATATTGTTTGAATCTTTATTGAGTTAGTTTTTGGCCAGATGTGTATTTTTTTTCTTTTGTAACTGTACATTATTGTTATTCTAAGGGGACATCGTCCCAGAATAAAGTTTATTTTCTATTTCTATTTCTATTTCTAAACATATATTTTTCATTTTTTCAAAACTTTAAATTTATAACATAACACCTTCGTCCACTCATGCCTTAATTATTATGGCGTTTTTAATTATTATCTTATTTTTCAGTTTTTATTTTTTTACCTCTACATAAGTTCATTTTGGCTAGGTTGGGATCATGAGGGGAGGCTGCTTACTAGCTCAAGGAGAACCCGCTGCTATTGTGAAAGAATATAATTGCATCACATTAGACCAAGTCTTTATTAAACTTAGTACTCAGCAAGAGACTGCTAGTCATTCAATTACTAACAATGAGGTAATATCTACATTTAGAGCCAATCCAATGTAATATTTAAGCTGCTAAATTACATACTTTTTCAGATTAACGATTGCATTTTAATATAATTTTTCATCTGGCTTAAATAATGCTTTGAGAATTATAGGATTATTTCATTCTTCCTTATGTATTATCATCCCATATTAAATACATGTTAATTATTTGTATGTTAATCTAGTAAAAATAAGCAAAGAATATAATATTATAATTTAAATATTTTCCTTTTTATAACTGATTAAGACATTAGATTGTGCTATGAAATCTTGGCAATGAAATGTGATGCATAGAAGTTGTAATATTCAGGATGGGCTTCGTTAGATGAAAGTTGGTTCCTGTTGAGAATTTTGATTGGTTATTGGGGAAAATGTACAAAAAAAAATAATATTTTTAATAATATTGCTACACAAATGTTTAAATTGTTTAATCATTTAAGAATAATTGGAGAAAGAGAGTATTCAAAAATACTTTTTCTATATAAGAAAATTCTTATTTCATTACATGAAAAAAGAAAGTACAAGATATAGATAGAAAAAAAAATTGCTCTAGGACTAGGTCCCTCAAGGATAACAGCACTCTTATAATCTCTGTTGGTTAAGGGATTAGCTCTATGTCGCTCACTGATCATGGGCTATCTGATTGAACATGACTTCCATCAGGTGATTTCTGGCTTTATGAATTCAACGTCCTGGGAATATTGTTCTGTCCTGTTTCTAGTTATACCATATATTTTTGTGTGCATGTTAAACCATGTATATCTGTTAGAAACCTTAGGGTTATTTTTGGTCAATATTTGTCCTTGAATAATCATATTTCCCTAATAATCCGAAAATCCATTGTTACCCTCAAACAGTTCCTATGATTCTGTGATTCCATGCCCCTTAAAATCCGGCTGCTGCTAGTTTTCTCATTCATTTTTCCTCATTTTGAATATGGCTGTCTTGTCTACGGTGGACTGTCTGGTGGGCTTGAGATCATATTAAAGAGACTAATGAATTGTCCCATTAGATTTATTTTTGGAGTCCCCAGGTGCTCCCACATCTCCAGTTGCTATGCCGAGTTGAAGTGGCTCTATCCAGTCTTCTGACGGCAATATTTCCTAGGTGTATTCCTTTTTAGAATCTTTTCAACCAAAAAACTCTCTTACCTTCTCAATCTGTTTACTCCTTGTTCCTCTGTCCATTCTTTCAACACGTGATCCCAGTTCTCAAACCTGTTTATTCCTTCTCATAGAATTGCTTCCTTTAAAAAATCCGTCGTCATGCGTGCTACCTTGTTTTGGAATATCCTATCAACCTCCACACTCAATTCCTCATCCTTTACCTCATTTAAACGTTATTTATATATCCATGTTCTCAGGAATCAATCTTCTGAATATGTGTAAAATAATGTTTAGTTTTTCAGACCTGCCAGTAGCATTTAATGTTATCCTGCATACAATTATCTATCATCCACATTGTTTATGTGTACAAATATGCGAACTCGCACATCTGGATTGGTCTATAATTTAATATGTCTACAAGTGCCTTTTCTTTATTTTTATTTTAGATCTAGTTAGCAGTATTTCTAATGCCAGCCAATTGTCATTCCATTGTACATTGTAGTTATTCTAAGAAGATTTACTGTCCCAGAATAAAATTTATTTTTCTTCTTCTTTCTTTTTCTAAATGAAAATATTTCAAATGACTAACTCTTGATATGTATTGGAGTCAGTGTTTTTATTAAAGTTTTTTACATTAATATTTTTATGTGATAACAATGATTGAGAAAAAATAAAACAAATTAATTTTTTAATGATATCTCATACCTGTAATGAAATAAAATTGAACAAAGCGAGAATTACATATATTTTTGGCAAGATTGACTAGCATGATCTTAAATCTTAAACTTAGGTCTTATTTCAGCTGGTTGTTTGTAAGTTGTTAAACAATGGTGAAAGCTTTCTAACTAGAAATTTTGAACAAGAATTGTCTCACTAATTTCAACTTCTTTTTTTTTTCAGGCTGGGAAAAACTATCCAATGCTTGAAAAAAAATCTAAATTGCCTTTACTTGAAGAAAAGTGTTTCTCTCTGAGGAATTTCATTAGTCTTTTACTCAAAAATATATATTTTTTAAAATATAGTCCACTGTAATTGATTATTTGATTTTTATTTTAAAATATAAATTTTTTACACAAACAAGATCAGAATCAAAAATCATTTCTGTTTCAGAGGATGGTTTCTAATATTATTTGTCCCTATATCAGTGTCGGTATTATTTGAGTTTTCACTTGGACAGGAGCAATTTAATTTGAAACTGGGTATAGTGAACGAAGAGCTTGGTCACATCAGCTGTAGTAATTATAGTTCAACTTGTCAACTCGCTTCCTGTAAATATATATCTCTCCTGCAAGAACATAATTTAGATCTAGTAGGTGTTAAATAATATATTAAATACCTTAATACTAGCTAGATATAAATATATCATTAAATATTGAGGCAACCTTACATACCAGGTTCTTATAGTAAATGAATTCAATTCAAATCCTGATTTGGGACATTGAATTTTTTGTCTTCAACATTAGTGGGTTTTTAATTGTGACTGCTATTGGACAAGTAAATATAAAAATTATATGATGCTTCCTGGATTGACTCAAGCTTAAATAAAAATGAGTACTTGACATTCTGGCATGTATCAGACGATTATAGCTTAGTTTCGATCATACTATTTCCCAAAATGATTGAAAATCATGTATCTTTACCAGTTTCTCTTCGGAAATATTTCATTGACAAGTTTAAGATGATGTGGGAAGAGAAAATAAGTTTTATTCCCACCTAACTCAGTTAATATCTATTTCGGAGCAGTCCTATGAAATGCATTTCAACACTGAATTATGGTAAGAACAGGGTGGCAACTTTTCAATAACTTGCAAGTATTGATAAAATGAGGCCTTAGGACTGACTACTATGTATTCATTAACGGTTTTGGTTCCGATTTATTTATTTCACTATATCAGTAACCATTGTGGTAAAATTTTATTGAAATATATTATGAAGGATTATTAATGTTTTTTACAATTTTATAAAAAAATTGGATTCTTGCCTTAGTTGCTTAATAGTTAACATCAGGTGAAAATAAAGTTAAATACCTATTACATCTCGAAATTAGAATCTTATTTCTGTGAGCCCAAGAGCAAGTCCTCCTCAGGTTTGAAAGTAAAGTACTCCGTTGATTATACAGTGGAATATGTGAGCAAGGCACCTGGAAAAAAAGGACATTTGCCGAATTAAATGAAGAATATAAGGAAGTAGATGTATCCCTGTTCATAAAAGCATTAGGACCATGCTGGACTGATCACGTTGCAAGAATGGACCCGAATAAAATACTGTCCAGGATCCTATTTGAACAAATTAATGGTACCAGACGGGTTTCATGTCCGAGGCTTTGGTGGGATGACTACGTGGCTACTGATGCGAGATCGCTGCTTTGGGTAAGAAGATGGAAGGCAGCAGCACAAAATAGACATAGACTCAACAAATGGGTTGCAATGCCGAATCTTACAGGTTTTTTTTTTTTTTTGTCAGAACACCTTATCTTCATTAGTGCTTCATGAACTCCAATGATAGAGCCATCATTTTGAAAATTATCTTTTCCTTTAGTGCCAAAAAAAAAAATTCACAAAACGGTCAGGAAAAAGTTATAAAGAAAACATAACTTTATTCTTGCTTAGCCCACAAAGAATCTTTAAGATTCTATAAAAAAAAAAAAAAAAAAAAAAAAAGATAATAATCAGGCATTTTTAAGCAGAGATAGAGTAAGTTAGAAATTGTTTAGATGTTTTGATTTATTATTTTTAATTATGAATCATTGAAATTGAGGATTAAAAAACAATTAATGTCTTTGTTTTATAATATATTTCATTTACTTATTTGCTTATTATATTATTTGGAAATCGACTAATGCAGTTTACAAACTATTTGGATGGGGTAAGTAGTTTATTTATAATTCTAATCATCATCTATGAATAAGGCTTGATAATTATTTTAACATTTTGTATGTGAGACTATAATTTTTTAAAGAAGACTTCAAGTTATAATTCTCTTCTCAGAGATAAAAATGAAAGTGCCCCGTGGTCAGGGTTCGCCTTTCCATTAGGCTGAAGTGTTTATTACACTTCTTTGCTGACTGTGGGCTCAAAGGCCTCAGAAGCTCCGATAAGAAGCTACCGATAAAGAAGATACCGAGCAATACTCTATCCTCTAGATCTCTAGTGCTAGCAAATATTAACATTTCTTCAAGCCTAAGTCCATTTAGAATACATTTCATAGTATATGTATATTTTTATGAAATAAATTTTTAATTTACCCATCTTCGATACATTGAAAAATCTAGATAAAGGAGAATTAATCGGTCTGGATAAATCAATATTTTAAAATAATTCCCATGTCAATTAAAAATAATTTGATGTTGGCGAAACTGTAAGTATGACAAACAGACAAAATTAAATTAGAATATTTATTTCTTTTAATTTTTATTTTGTTTCAAACTTATTCCAGAATGTTTTTAGTTTTTAGCCATCCATTACAGGTACTTTATCAAGATACCAGAAAAGCTTACAGCGACGCTAAAAGAAATCTTATTTGGGGTTACATGCATTTATCTCATAACTTTACCGAATCCATTCACAAAAGGATGTTGAAGAAGGGATTGGTTGATAACGGAACACTTTTAAATAGTGAAATCAGCATCTGGATGGACATGTCCAGTAAATATTTATTAAATTGCTTATTTCCTTATTGATTATTAAGTTTTGCTAATTTATAAAAACTTTTTACAGATCAAGTAACAGCAATTTATTTGAGAAAGAATATCTATGTATCATTTAATAACTTTTTAAAATGGTTATCATTAAGATGCAGATGGCCAATTGAATATTTTGGAGTTCCTATTCATGTAAGTGCAATTGAAAACTAAATTAATAGTAATGATTATTAATATCTTTCTATTGATATTTCTATGGTTTTCAGTTTAATCCTCCTATCTATGGATCGGAAACTTTTAAATACAATGAATTTTCAATCGCTGGAATGCTGCTGATGTATGTATATATTTTTTTATGCACCTCTAAAGAAACAATTCAACCTTTATATTTTTCCAATAATTATTCTATTTACAGTATTTTTGATATTTTAAGCCTATATTTAAAATATTGATGAATGATCTGGTTTCCTAAAGTACTCTCTCGTTTGCGAACATTATTTGTTTGATTCTTACAGGTTTGTTTTCATTGGATATAAACAAAACTCAAAATATCAAAGTTAAGCTCTTAAAATATAATAGCTATTATGTTGAAAATTTGCATTATTTTATTTTGTAATTTTTTTTATTTTTTATTGGTAGTAATATCAAATCTTTGTTAAGAGATCATGGAGTATTAAAACAAAAACATTTGTGATATAATGTTACTCTAATGCTGGGGTCTCTACAAAATAGTGAACACGTAAATAACTACTGAGTTTTTTAATGATGAAAAGATAAAAAAATCTTTTGGGTTATTAAAATTAATTTTAATTGTAAAATGGGCTTCATAGTTTTTTATGTGTCAAATATTATTTTCAAACTCTTATATATTTATTCTACTTTTAAATCATTAATAATTTACATTATTTTTTAAGGTTAGAATTTTTTTTACCCATGACATATGCTTCAGCCCTTCTCGATGATAAAGTGGAAGGCATTCTGGAAAGAAGTTTTATAGCTGGTAAATGTTACTCATTGTTAATTTAAGTATTAACTATTGGTTAAATATAAGTTTTGGTATTCATAATTTTAATAACACCATCAGTACCTTTTTAAACATTTACGATATTAATCTTCTCATTTAATTAACATTTTTTTAGAGGAGAAGTTGGTTGGGGTGTGCAGTCAAATAAATACTAAATTGCTAAAATAGTATTTTAATCATTACACCATTATAATAAGTTAATTTAACAGTTTATTATTGTTAAAAATTAACAAAATTAATAATTTAATAAAAAAGTAAAAATTAACATTGTGGATTGATGATTGACTGTAGAGAATAATTGAAGAGATCAATGGTTGGGATGATCAGTATAAAAAATATTATTAAAAATAAATAATTATATTTATTTTTGCCGACGTTTCGGCCTAAAGTTCAGGCTTTTATCAGGGCTGGTCAAGTGAAGAGCTGACACAATACTATTAAAATTAATCAATTAAAGTAACTTAATTAAGATAACAATTAAAGTTAGATATTTATATTAATTTATTCTATATGGAAAGCATATTTTAATTTCATCGCTCAGCGTTTTATTTCTAATGAGTTAACTCATTATAATTATATTGAATAATTTTTTTGCTCATTAAGAAAAGCTCACAATTTTTATACTTAAAGAAATAATTTTTCAAAACATTAAATAAAATAAAGAATGTTTATTGTAGGATGGCGAAAATGGCAGTGAAAATAAAAAAAATACTGAATACTGTTTTCCATTTTAAATTATTAACTATATTATTTTGTATTTGGTTAAACTTTTATAGAGTTTAGAATAAACAATTTTTTGTTATAATTTTTTAGAAATATAAATAAAAGGAAAACAATAACATTTCTACCATTGTTAATGCATATTAAATGTAAGATTCTAGGCAAGTCTATTAAATGTTATTATGAATTAACTACCTTATGGTTATTATTTAAATTAAAAAAAGCTAGGACACACAAGAAATATTTATTCTCTACTTTATTATTTTTCATGAATGTCTTTAGAATATCATTAATTTAATCATTTATTTATTCAACAGGGCATACCACAGTAGAATTGGTGGCTGCACAAATTTTTGTGACTGTAACTCTTTTCATAATTTCAACTACTTTGTTAACAACAATTTTTTACGGAATATTCAATCATGCATTTGAAGGAAGTATTATGTTAGCAATGGTCCTTCTAATTTTAGTAGGAATAACTGGAACATTTTATGGTAAGAAGTAGTTACTTAATTTATATTTTTTTAAAGATATGATTTTCGTAAATTATATCATATTTATAAACAAGCCCTAGTTATCATTGTCTGTCAGGTATTTTGTACATTGGATCAATTATAAGATTTGGAGAAAGCTGGGCATCTAGAGTTTAAAATACTTTATTTATTCAATTTTTCAATAAAAACCACAGGTTAGAGGTAACCACATTTTACAAATTTTTCAAGGTATATACAGGGCGTTTCAGGGTTAAGTGGCTAAACTGCAAAAATGAACTAAGGACCTCAAAACAAGAAAAACATTTCCGTTTATAAAATAAATTATGTTATGTACAATAAATAAAACCTATTTATTTGCTCTAATTACTTTATTAATTAAATTTAAACATTAACATTCCTATTAAATGTTCTTCAAAGTGATTTCATTGATTATTAAGACAGGCTCGCCATTTATCTTCAATAGCGGCAGTGGCAGACCGGCACTGGATATGTGTTATTGTTTCACAAGATTCAATTATCCTTCTTCGTAAGGAATTAACCTCATTGACCGGACTTGCATAGACTTTTTGTTTAATGTCAGCCCAAACAAAAAAATCCAGTGGTATCAGGTCTGGAGAGCGTACAGGCCAAGCCACTGGTCCTGTATGTCCAATCCATTGATTGAGATAAGGGGTATGATTGAGAAAGTCCAGTCAATGACCTTAATTCCTTACAAAGAAGGATAATTGAATCTTTTGAAACAATGACACATATCCAGTGCCGTTCTGCCACTGCTGCTATTGAAGAAAGATGCCGAGCCTATCTTAATGCTCAAGGAAATCACTTTGAACAACATTTAATATGAATTTTAATGTTTACAATTAATTAATAAAGTAGTTAGAACGAATAAATAGGTTTTATTTATTTCATATAATGTTAATAATTCATAATAACGAAAATCTTTAGTTGTGAATATCTCCTAAACAAAGCGTTTGCGGACATACTTTCAGAGGAATTTTTTTTCTTGTTTTGTGGTCCTTAGTTCATTTTTGCAGTTTGGCCATTTAACCTTGAAAGAACCTGTATATTAAACTTTCAATATATATATACTTGGGCCGTGATGGAGTTTTCTGAGAATACGTGTATTTCATTACTGCATGTTATTTCCGTCTTTTTAGTAGAACTAGGTGTCTGATGCTAACTTTCTTTAAGAAGGCTCAGTGTGCAATGGGCTGTTAGTTGTTGGAAATACCTGGTCAGAAGAATGATAATTAGGAATTAATAAAACGCTGCTAAAGAAATGCTAATGTAATATTCAACAAAGTTAATTATGAAATGAAATGAAAAATAATTTTATTCTGGGACTATAGTCTCCTAAGAATAATGACAGAATTCCATAATTATGAACATTAGCGTGACCTAGAGAATGCAGAATGATGCTTAATTAACTGTTATTTACAATTTCAATTGTACAATTAGTTAAATTATAGAGTATATAGATGCAGGTAAATTTTATATGTTTGAAGAAGTTTGAATATGGAGTAGGTGGTGGAATAGGAGTTTGTTGAAGGAATTTTTGGACGAGGATTGACATATGGAGATAGGTAAAGAGTTCCAAAAGGAGGTAGGATGAATGGATTTTCTGAATGAAGTAATTTTATGGGAAGGATCGGTCAAGATCTGGTATTAAGAGATTGAATACATAAATTTTGAGCAAGGTGTTTTATGATGTAGGAATGTTTTTTGGTTCTGGGGATTTAGAAAGGAAAATACAAAAAAGGAATTGCTGTTGGGAAGTAGGATAAAGCCACTTCAACTCGAGGTATTAGCAGGAAACATGAGAACGTGTGAGAATCCCGTAGATATTTTTTATGAAGCAATTGATTTACTTTCTCTGTTTATTTTATATTTATATATGTTTTTATTTCTCTTTATTATCTATAATTTTATTGTATTCCTAATCATCCTGTAAATATTTAATTGTATTTTATGGACACACCAGAATATGAATATATATTCTGTATTTGTAACTTGTTCTAAACGGACACAAGTCCCAGAATAATAAAATCATTTTATTCATTCATTCAATTCATGAGTCTCTTCAATCTCATTTCCAGCCTGGCAGACAGCCCTCCATATACCAAGTAGTTGAAGTGGTGAAAATCGAGTGAGGTTACGAGCAAGAAGCTGTCTAGTTTTTTGAGGAATACAATCACAAAATCTTAGAAGTTGTTTAAGGATAGTTATGAATTTTTGTGTAATCTGAGAGATATGGTTATTCCAGGAAAAGCTAATCCTAAGTTTTTAACACCGGGAGGTGATACCGTAGGGAAATAATTTTTTATCAGTCTGGTACGGTTTCGGTCCCCTCCCTCCAAAAACTTTTTATCAGATATAATGATTATTTACACTTATATCTTTACATCTATCCAACTCCTATTCATATATTTTTAAAAATTACCATTTTAGAGACTTCGTAAGATAGCAAATTTGAAACAATCACAGCCGTTTGGTAGTCGAGATGAATATCGGATCCCGGGGACCATAACCACAGCAAACTTGTTAATAATCTTTAGTTTATTTATTCTACCTACTCTTGATTTCATTTTGATGAGGAACTTAAAAGGAATCCTTCTATGAGATTCAACCAATAAGAAACTGTCAATGAAATCACTATTCACTTAACTAATTATTCTTTGCTTAAAAGAAAATCTTCTCAGTTCAGTTGCCTTGGTTCTTTCTGCATTGCTGGATGAAAGCCCTGATGAAGATGTAGATTGAACTGTAGGCTATCTAATAAACATATTCATCCACATTCATATTCACTCCCAGCATATTATGTTTGTAACTGTTGATTGCACATTGTATACCATCACAAATTATTTTAAGTTTAATTAATTACAACCTTTAAGAATATGCATATAAAAACAATTCTTTATTTTTCCTAATGCCGAACAATGCATGATGTATATATATATATAAAATTGTTTTCTTTAAATTAAATTAAGTTATTATCATTAATTTAATTCTTGTACTTTGTATACAGGAATATCTGTAGCTTTAATATTTGACAATCATGTCTCAGCAACAACCTTTGTTCTTGGAACTTTCTTACCTCTGGCAGTTGTTAGCGGTAAGAGATTATTCTTTTTTATGGTAAATAAATATAATTATTTAGTTATTTATTAGTTAGACGCGTTATTTTATAATTATTTATCTGAATACTGGAGGATTACTGGTATTTGAAGTATCTGAGGTCTATTAAGTGATATGAATAAAATTTTTTAAATGTTTATAAAAAAAAGAAAATAATTATAATAATGTTGAAGGCCGGGTGCTATCTGGCTAGTGCTGGGCAAAGGCTGTCTGAGGACTGAAAAAAAGTAGATAGTTTAAAAAAAACCTCCTGTTTTCGGCACCCATTGGCAGTTATTTAAGAATTTTAAGCTTTTGGAATGACCTCGAACCGTCGAAACGGCCTCTTTTAAGGTGTGAATCACTTCTGCGTAACATATTGAATATTTCAGCATTTATCTTGTTTTAGTAGTCAAAATCAAAAAGCGTTTTAAAGATAAGATTTCCTATAGGTGCAACCCTGCATGGATGTACCTTACGTTTTTGGTAAGAAACACACATTTACTTTTCGAGAAATTGAAAGATATAAAACTCATATTTTTATCTATTTAAATTTTTCTATACATATCACTGTCAGCTTAGAACACAAAAACAGCCATAAATTTTCATTCTTTTTATTATTTAACACAGTTGCCGAAATCTGGTCTGTGAAAAAAGGAAAAATTCAGTTTTCAGCACCCACATTCCCAAAAACTGGACTGTTACTAATTTGGTCAAATCCCTCAAGTAGATTTTTTTTTTTTTTTAGTTTTCCAAGATGCCTAAATGTTTATTTGATTCCAAGTTTGTATTTATTTGATGATCTATTTATTTGATTTCACATTTTTTTACAACCTGTTTTTATAATGAAATATCTGTGATTTTTTTATATTAGTACTACAAATACCAGATCTATTAATTTGGAGAGTTGACTGTTTGATTTTATATATATATATATATATATATATATATATATATATATATATATATATATATATATATATGAGATTATCACTTCTAGTTTATTACTTTGTTCTTTTTACTAAAAGGGATGAGAATATTAACTGTTTATCAGAAACTTTTATCATCCTCTTTTAAATTGGTAAATTATATGTAAGTTAGTGATACAAGTTTTATTCTGAGATATTTAATATCTTCTCTTGAAGGGTTTCATGATGGAATAATGCTCGCTGTGAGATATTTGGTGGATATAGTCAGAATCTGAAGGATATAGTCTAAAATATCTTAACATGTATCTTATGGATGTATCTTTTATATCAGAAGGGGCTCTGCTTTGCTTATTTATTTAAAAATTACAGAATGTTACCATTAACCTTAATTAACTTCTACTATGCATAAAGTGTCAACCTATTGATATGATTTCTCATTTCAAATAAATAACAAGTTAGAAAAGATCGTTTCTAGAAAACTATAATCTATTATCTAACATGTTTTAGGTATGATATGGCCGACTGAAGCAATGCATAGTAGCCTCCGATCAGTCAGTTGGTTGCTTCCATTGACACATGCAACTGAAGCATACAGGTCTATATCTGTCAGGGCTTGGACAATAAGTCACCCAACAGTTTATGTTGGGTTTTTATCAGGTCTTTTATGGGCTTCAGTTTTATGTTTAATAACCATTATTCTTGTGAAAACAAAACCAGGAATGGCCGTAAAATAGATATCAATTTATCCTTGATAAATGTTTTTTAAAAAAGTAACTAAAACATAATACATAAGTTACTTAGTGTGCCTACTTGATACTTTTCTGGTTTGGTTATCCATAAATATGATATAAAATAATTTTTTTTTTTTAACTCTATGGATTCCATAATTTTGGAATTAGAGAAAGAGCAGTAGAAATACTTGAAATTTTGTACCCAGTTAATTGATAGAATTTAATCATAACATTTTTAAAAGGAATTTAATATTAGAGAAAGTATTTTTCAACAAAAAAATAAAAGATCCTTTATATTAAAATTATTGATCTAGATTTTTGAAAAATTCTTATTTTAATTTTAATATATGTTTTAATACTTTCACCTTGCTTTGTTTTATAATTTACATCTATTTTGTACTTTTTATTTCCTTGCTATATATTGAATCATTCTTTGGAAGGTTATGACTAATTTCAGGGAAACACTACCTATAAAAATTGTATAAAATATCTGTTGATATATAAATGACATCAAAATACATTTATTATTATATGTTACTTCTTTTTTTATAACTATTTGACCCCTGCGAACAATTCACGTGATGTATTGGTCAGTGAACAAGCGACAAAATAATATAGAAATAAATTAATGCTATGTATTATGAAATGGAGGAATTAATTTTCTTTTTCTTGTTTGAATAAACATAGTTCATTCATCATAATAAATCACAACATTTTTACAAATTAAAATAGCTTATATCTTTGTTAATAATGGCCTGCTTCTGATGATTTTTGTTTTGTTTATATAGGGAACTTTGTAACCTTTTAAACAATCATGGTTGTAATCCACAGAAAATTTCATATTTTTTTAGTTAAAGTTTAATTTTCTTCTTAAATTTTTTCCTGAAATTTTGAGGTGATGGGATTTTGAGAAGGAGAAGATAATCTTCAAAATGATGGATTAATTGTTGATTTTTTTTTTAAGAATTAATAAAATTATGGTGTATCAACAAAAAAGAAATAATGTATAGTAGACATTTTAATTTTTAGGAATCAATTGCAAACTTGACATGAAGATTCACTAATGCTAGTATAAGGTTGGGTCCATGCGATATCAAAAAATTTTAGGCCTTTGTAATGCAGAGCACAGCATAATAGTTCTGAAGAAGCGTTTTTTAATGATGGCGAGTTTTATTGCAATTGGATTAAGGTTTTAAGTTTTGAGATTATGATTCGTTACTTCATTCGTCTTCTAGTTATGATTATCATTCGTCAATTCATATAATATGAATATCCCATTCATTTGATACCTCATTCATCAAAATGCATCGCTCCTGAGAGCAGAAAAAGGGATCTATACTATTGTTTTATGTATAGTGCATATTAATGTAAATATACTGATCTATGTCAGTATCTATTTGTTTATAAAATATTCATATTGTATGACTGATGAAAATTTAATAATGGAAAGTACTTATTCTTCACCTATTCCTCTGTAATTATTTCAATATATTATTCAATAATACTATAAAGATCTTCTTTTTTTTTTCTTAAAATATTACTTAAGGAGTAAAAAGTACTCAAGGAAATCATAAAAAGATTTAAATTAAAAGAACTGTTAAAATTTTAATCTTTGAATGAAGTGAATGATGGAATGAGGCTGGGTCTGTACAATGCAAGGTACTGAGAAGCTGGAGATAGAATGAACTGATAATGAAGGCAAAACCTAAAAACCTGTACCAATACAGCCCCTTTAAAGGGTCTTGATAAGAAAGTACATTACAGTCTGTAGGTTTCAGTTTCATTTTTATTTTAATTCGGATATGATTTTAAATTATTCAGATAAAGTAAAAGCAAATATAACAAACTGACATTAGATAACAATATTTTAATATTCAAGTTAAATAGTAAAAATGTATAAATTCTATCTTTGTCCTGGCTGTAACATCTTTAATCACTTCTGTATGGGTAAATAAATTCATTGAAGAATTAATATTTTGATAGTATATTTTTGAAGATCTAGACAAATATGGTAGATACTTAGGTTCGAAAGGGATTTATGGGAATTCTTATTATGTTAGACTGACAAAGAACCATTTGGTTTCTTGTAATATGATTTTGGCAGCAGTACTAGACCATAGACATTCGGCGCCCCAGGGCACTGATGTCATCTCCCTTCCCTTTAAAAATTAAATTGTTTTTCTTAAGCAGTTTTATACTATGCCATATTCGAACTTTATTTCATACAATATTTTTATAATACAGTTGCTTTATTAATAGGCTAAAATTGTTTATTATAAAATTGTTTATATGCTCTTTTAATTTCTAAAAAGTGGGGGGCGCTCCTGATGATCAATGCCCCTCCTGGTTGGTGCGCCAGAGCACTTGTCCTGGTTGCCCCAGCCTAAGGCCGACACTGAACAGCAGGTATGTGTTTTTCTGGCCAACTCTAACTGTAAAGAAAGAATAGTTTAAAAACCAGAATAACAAAGTGAGTATTTTAATTAATTAATACGAGAGTCACCCTAATAATTTACATTAAATATAGTATTCTGAATATTCATTCAATTTGGTTTCCTTGTACAAGATATCTTTATTCAGTTAGCATACTATTAAAATGCTAAACCTGATTGTTTGCCATTTTGTGTGATATGCAATATGATTGTTCAGAGTGTTACCTTAAGATAGTTACAAGATGGGTTATATGTAACACTAATGGTAATGTTCATTTTATCAGTAATTCCATAAAGAATGATGTATTATTAAACCTTATTCTCAATAGATGAAGGCTATTAAGCATGAAATGATTACGGCATTAAAGCAAGAAAAGCAAAAATAAAATTAAATTATAAAATAAAAATAAAAATAAAAATTAAATTTTTAATAAAATGAAGTATTCAAAACTGTAGCTTTATTAAATATCTTTCCTCTGGTACCATTTAAATATTTTAGTAGGTTTTAACGAAGTAACACTTATCGAAACTTTCTTACTCGGATTTAAAAACTTTTTTTAATTTATGATATTCACAACTGTATTAGAAATGAAAATACATTCAGTAACAGGAGATCTCGAGGCCATCTTCTTTTCAGATGCCTCCGAGGGTTATCAGGGATCGAGGAGGAAGCAAGATTAGAAACAAAAGGGTTTGGATGGTTCTGAAGTTTGTTATGGAAGAATAGGTATCTGGATTGGGCCAGGGCAGAAACACAAAGAGAATTAAGGTCTTTATGGATAATTTTATTTGAGACAAAGTAAGGAGCATTGGCGATTTAACGAAGGATTTTGGATTGTAAGGATTGGATACGAGAGGAATTTGATGGCTTAGTGGAGCCCCTAAGCTCAACTCCCTAAGACCAAATAGATCTTATTCTAGTCAGGAGTCTTTTTTTAATTAACTGGAAGCTTAGAGCGTTTGTCTAGTAAGTGCTGGAGTAATCGGAAACATCGAGCAGTTTCTTGTCCTTTCAGTATGGTATGAGGATTCCAAGTTAGACGTTTGTCCAAGTGGAGTCCAAGATATCGGATTTGTTCAACAGGGATAAGTGGGGTATTATTAAAGGATACTGTAGGACAGGAGGTCATAGGAGGTAAAGGTTATTTGATGGAATTTATTTTAATCCTCCAGTTTTGGCACCATTCTTCAAAGTTTGTGATGTGTGATTGAAGAGTTTGGGATGCAATGGTTGGGTTGATTACTGGATAGGACACATGTATCATTGGCATACATGGTAATGAAAGTGTAAGGATGGGTTGAGATGTCAGTTGTATAAACTGTGTAAAGGACCTAGAATACTACCTTGAGGAACACCAGTGGACTGGGAAAAGGGGGATGAATAAGTATTATTGTGATTTACTTTTAAGTATATATCAGTAAGGTAGGAACAGATAACGAGGAAGTATGTAGGATGTAGGAATTACGGAGTTTGTAAAGCAGTCACGGGTGCCAGACTCTATCAAAAGCCTATTCTACATCGAGAAAGACTCTCATGTTATTTAAAAACTGAATTGAAAAAGTGCAAAACATCGCTTTAACTTGGAAAACTGATCTAGATTGTCCAGTAGCAGATTCAGGATTTAATTATGGGGTGGGATTACCTGTTTTTTTTTTAAATTGATATGTGCTTACATTTAATAAACAATAAACAAGTACAGGTGTTATAACTTAAAAATAGGGGTATAGTACATGCAGAAGCACTAGCAGATTCAGGCTTTAATTTTAGGGGGCTTCAGCCTGAAAGCTTTTATTTTTCATATATATAATGATAATTTCTTTGTAAAAAAAAAGATAAACCAACTAACTATCTGAAATAGTGCTTCAGTGATTCTCGAATACCTATTAAATGTAATTAGGCTAACAATAATACTTTAAGAGATAATTTTTTCTATAAAATATCATTATATTTTACCATTTTGAGGAGGGAGGCTTCAGCCCTAAAGCCCTCCCCTCTATAGATCTGCCTGTGTAGGAAGTACTTGGCTGAGATCACTCATAGAAAAATAAATGGACCAATGAAAAAAAAAAGGACTATTACTTTGGGAGGGAAGAAGTTCTTCATGCTTGAAACTCCCCCTAAATTCAGTTAGTGAGAATGAAGTGATTCATTGTTACCTTAATAAGTTCTGAACATTTTAAAATATGTTATGATACTTATATAACAAATTTAAAATATGTCAGATTTCTACTCTTTTTAAACTCATTGTTATTCATTATGTTATTTGATCAAAATTATATGTGGACCATGTAAAATTGCATTTACTCTGAAAATTATCCAGTTGTTGAAAAACATTAGTTTCCATTATGGATTGAATTATATATTATATTTTAAATAAATATTCTAAAGAAATCATTTAATTTAATTACTCAAGTACTGAGAAATGAGGGGGAAAAAGTATAGATGATTTTTTACCCTCAGCTCGTAAATTGAAACTTTTTTTCTGATGTTTCTATGCCCCCTTGTGCTGAGTAGTAGAATTCAAGAGGAATTTTTTGTTCTTTTGGCTGTGCCTCCTATTATTTACAATGTGAAAAATATCTCAACATCTCCGTTTTTCCCTTTCTGATTTCGAAGTTGCAGAAGCACAAATTGGTTTCGCCAATTGCCAATTAAACTATGAAAGGCTGAAGGAACCAGTCTTTGAGTTCCCCCCCACCACAACACATGGCAAACTTTCAGTTCACAATACCTTCATTCATCAGTCAGTGTGAGTTCGTGGTTGTAGCATCACATGTAATTTATGTACGTATTTTAAAACGTTATATTGGTAAACATTTTTTCTTAGTAGTTTAACAAGATTTTTTTTCGTATTCATTTCTGTCTAAAAACTATTCGAAGTTAATCAATACTGTTTCGATATTGAAATTGATGATTTTAAAAATCTGTTTTCAATTTGTATTTCCCTTTTTTTCGATTTTTTTCCACCGTACACTTATCCGCTACTTTTCTTTTCGTTCTTTCGAAGTATTTTTGTTTTATCTACAATAAACTAATTTGAAATTACCATACGTAATTTAAGATGTGTTTATTAAAATTTATACTGACAGTGATTTTAAATATATTTCTATGTATGTAAATAAGTTCTTATCTTACAACTATATGTATTTTTTTAATCTCTCTCTCTCTCTCTCTCTCTCTATATATATATATATATATATATTTTTTTTTTTTTTTAGTGCTACCAGTGGGTAGTTTCTCAACAAGCGTTTTCATGTGATTATATTTCTGTGCACACATTTACTTGATGTATTTATATTAATACAGTTGTAAATGTCATAAATAAAAAAATATATTATTTTTAGGTTTTTACATAGATTTAAATTGTTTCTTTCCTTCAGTTTTGTTTCTTCATATAGGTATTTAAATTGGTCTTTTTAAACTTTCTTTTGTTTTTGTAACTGCTTCTGGAAATAGAAATGTTGATAGGTTTTCTCGGAAAAAGTATGAAATAATTTTTTTAAATTATGAGATTGGAAATCATTACTTTTGAGTTTCGATAAAAAACCTTTCTACGTGTTGTGTGAATTTTCACAAGCGCTCTAAGTTAACTTACTTGCTCGACTAACGCGGCCCCGTATCAAATGTAATCGTTACTAAAATGTGTACAATCTAAACGAATGTTCTTTATTTATTTATATTTTGTCCCGCCATACCTTGTCTGATACACTAGCGGATCCAGGATTTAGTTTTGGGGGGGGGGAGGGCTTCAGCCTGACAGTTTTTTTTTTCATATATATATATATAACGATAATTAATTTGAAAAAAAAGAAATTAATTAATTATCTATATGAAATGGTGTTTAAGTGGTTCTTGAAGTCCTATTAAACGTAATTACACCAACAAGAATACTTTAAGAGATAGTATAAAGTATTTTTTTCTGTAAAATATGATTACATTTTACCATTTTGGGGGGGCTTCAGCCCGAAAGCCCCCCCCCCCGTAGATCCGCCCGTGGTCTGATATACTATTATGATCACTAGCGGACCAAGGATTTAATTTTGGGGGAGGCTTCAGCCCGGAAGCTGTTTTTTTTTCACACATATAACGATAATTAATTTTAAAAAAAAACTAACATAACTACATGACATGGTGTTTAAGTGATTCTTGAAGTCCTATTAAATGTAATTACACGAATATTAATACTGTAAGAGATAGTTTTTAATATTTGTTTTCTATAAAACATGGTTATATTATACCATTTTGGGGAGGGAGAAGGCTTCAGCTCGAAACCTTGCTCTCCTCCCGTATATTCGCCTGTGTTTGTGATCGTAGAGGGATACTATGCAAGGAGTATGCTTATACCACTGTTGCCAATAAAAATCTTTATTTTATTAAATAATTTTTATATACATTATCACGGAATTTTTATAGGAACATAAAAGAGAAACTTACACTGTGTAATCCTGTGAACGGGACTGTACATAGGCCTACACTTTTCCTATCTCTATATTTTCTCTTAACATATCAAAAATATGTAACATATAACATATAAGGGGTTGCAGCCCCGCTAAGATTTTTTTTCTAGCTACGTTCTACGTTCTCCTTCCACCTGTAAACGAAGTCGCTGTAAAAGGTGCGGTTTGCCCTGTGGATTAGCCGAGATAATGCGCTCTCAGACAAGATAGTTTCTTTTAAGAGTTTTGGCCCTCAGTGTATCATATACAGTCGATGGTCTCAGTAACGTTATAACTGGGTCATAAAAGATTAATTTTCTTTTCATGTTCAACAAACTTCGGTCGTAAGCCTTTCTGCCACTCGAACAGTTGAGGGACCCAGTAGTTCAGTAGGGCCAAGTTTGCGTCCAATCCTGACCTTATACTGGGAAAATATTTCCTTGAGTTAGCCCCTTTCGTTTTTTTTTTGTTTTTTTTCTGTCTCGCCTTTTTGACTGGCCTTCGTTTTTCCCCGAACCAGAGGAATTAATTTTAGAGTCAAAAGTTCCGCCTAGTAACGGAATTCGAACTCGTAATCTTCGGTATATCAGGTTGCCGAGAAGCGTGTTTTACACACGCACTGCTTCTCCGCTCCCCCTCGCCCCTTTCGAAGTTGTAATCCATTGCCGATTCCATTCTTCAGTGTTCTTCCTCATGATCCTCTTCCATCTTCTTGGATCTATGTTGATGCTCACCTTTAAATTCTTCAGTAGACTCGCCAATCCGTTCCTCTTAATCTAGTTGTTCTACATATGTTCCATGAGATTTCCAAGGTGCATTTGTTTGTTAGCCAATCTTTTAAATATTGTTTTTTTTTTCACCGGTGATAATGACCGTACATAGGTATGTATTCGACGCAGATTTTAATATTTTTTAATTCGTGAAAAAAAAATCAATAGAATCACCATTTTTGGAATTATAAATCAACAAATGGAAGAAGTCCAAACTTCCAGTTTTTTTATACCATCTCTTAACGTCATGTCGAAGGAACGTAATAAATTAGCATATTTTTTTTTTTATGTCAAATAAAATAATCAAACTCATTTGATTTTTAACGATCTCTAGAGGGATTGTTAAGTTCTTTTATTAATTTTGAAATGAATTAGATTGAGCCATCAGATTTCCGATGTGTAACGATCGGGTAAAGTCGCCTGGAGTCTACTAATTGAAGTGTTTCTGCACATGTATTAAAATATTTCAAAAAATAAAAATCTTTAAAGACCATTTCATCCTCTTTGTAATGAGCTATTATTCAAAATTGTATCTTAACGTGACACTGTGTAAAAGAGGCGAAAAGAGAAAAGATAGTGTCGAAACCAAATTAATACGAGTTTGATTGAAGATATGGATTAAAATATCTCAGATACTAAAAATCGGACCTGCATACGATAAGCGAGGGAATTGTTCACCATTTCATCCTCTCTGTTAAGGGCTATTATTCAAAATTATACTTTCGTTAGAGAGACGAAAAGGAAAAAATAGTGTCGAAAACCAAATGATAACGAGTTTTATGGAAGATATGGATAAAAATATCTCACACACTAAAAATTGAACCTAAATACTGTAAGCGAGGGAAATGTTCAGTATTTAATCCTCTTAATAATGAGTTATTATTTATAATTTATATTTAATATTATTAATCTGGCCTTGTTGTTGTTTTCATTTCTATTGTGTGGTCTAAAGCACACGCCTTAGTGTTTTTTTGTTGTTAAGATTTAGCATATGGAGAAATGTATCTTAATTTTAAAAGTAATTCCTTCCTTAAACCAAATAATTTAATTTTGAAAAATTGATTTCTTTGCAATTCTGGAGTAGAGGAATCTTCAGTCCCAATGTTTTCTGTGATGTAGGGTTCATTGTAACTTTGGACTATAACCTACTTTTATATTTAGATAAATATTGAAATTTAATGGAATGAATCAAGTCGATTATCTTAATGTATGTTACAAATATTTAATGTGATGGTACGCGTAGGAATTTCAATTTTTTTCTCCCGTTCCAAGAGTATTTTTGATGGTCAAGGTTACTACTGATTTCACCAAGGCCAACTAAATTTTATTCCAATAGCAATCTCAGAATATTAATAACGGTTTGGATTAAAGGTTGTAATAATGTTGGTGGCGCATGGTTTAAAATATTTAAAAATATGTGTATTACAAAATAATATTCATTTTGAACCGCTATAAATATCCATATTTTACTGATTTTTCAATACTGAAATCAATTCAGGCCTTTTCCACTGGGATCTGCAATAGCAGACTAGATTGTATAGCCATTACTTCATAATTTCAACAGCCTCATTAATATTTCTTAATTCAGGCCGAAACTAGTAGTTTTAACAAGGTTAGTGATTGGTATATCATAGGTTTATTGCATAAAGTCACTTAGTATGTTTTTGAGATAGCTGAACTTTTATTATTTATTGATAAAAAAAAAAAAAACTCAGTTAGTGGACTAAAATGACCTTTCAGTTAACAAAATAACTGACTCAAATTTAAACATTTTTGAGTAAAGTAAATTTAGATATATTTCCAGTTGAAATATTCATAATAACTGAACAGGCAGTGAGATACAGTGTTGAAATATAGAACTTTGAATAAAGGTGTAAATTTACCCATTAGAAATATCACTAAAATTAATAATAAAAAAAGTTGAAATTGAAGTTAGTCATTGTGTCAACTGAAAGGCTCATATATCAAAGTTTTTAAATCGCCCTATTTTCTGATTTTAAAAATCGAAAATTCATCAAAATCGTTTGTGATTTAAAGTAATGAAGTATCAGTTAATGACGTTTTGAAATAAACCGATAGTATACTGTAGCTTTCTTTATATCCAACTTCCTGTACTTAAAAAATATACAGAAAATAAAACAACACATATATTATTTTATATAAAATTTTCTTAATAAAACAAAATACTTACCCACGTAATTCCTATATTTTTATAGGAACATGTTTTGAATGTTTTCATTTTTGTTTTCTTTAATTATAAAAAATCCTTCAACTTGAACAAAATTATTAACTTAATTTAGTTTTTATAAAGAACTTCATACATTGATTAAGAATAATAATACTTTATTTTTTTTATTCTAAAAACACAAGTGCACTTCTTATTTAACTGGTTTATATATTTATTACGATTTATTATAAATAGACATATATATATATTAAACATCGTATCAGTATAAGATTATTATTATCTCAGATCGGCGACCCAAGTGGTGATAGGATGGTTTGAGGCTATTTTTTTTTAACAACAAACTGGAAAATAAACTATCAAAATATTTTAATCCAAATTATATAAATAAAA